GGTGCGTCCAGCTTCGGTCGCCAGGAGTGTGGTCATCCTTTCATCCACCCGCCGACTCATTTAATTTATTTGGTAACCATTACCTTCGCCACTGCAATCTTGTCATGCCACTTATTTGTACCAATTTTGCTGTGGTTGTAGTTTCTGGTGTTTGAATTGTACTCTCGTATGCTGTTGTTTTATGTTACAAGTTTTAGCACGTTCACACGCTTCACTTAATTGTTTATACATCTGTTTACTGCTATTGAAAATCCCTGTCTTTCCTCCCTTCCTCTTCCAGAGTGATTTTTCCCTACTTATGACTAAAAAGCAATTCTTGTGGACTTTCACTCTCCTTGCTATCCTCCTCCCTCCTCCGAAAACCCAGCAGTTTGATTGGCTTACTTATGCTTGGTCCTCCTACTCCTCGATAACGAATAGGATTGTCTTCTAGAGTACAGTGCGACATTGATAGGGCATATTTCCCACGTGGTTCGGCCCCGCAGACTGTCCTTATCATCAGCGTCCATATTTCACGTCGCAGCAGATGGGCTCCAATGGCATATGGCTTGCTGCAGTCTTTGTAACCGCCCAAATGTCAAGATTTAGGGAAGTGGGCGGGAGGGGAAGTAGAGGAGAGTGCAACGTGTGTTCAGCCATTTGTGGATGTCTGCTCGACACCCTCTCGTTTACGCAAAACTAAAATTTCACTCTTTATTGTGTCGAAATTTCCTCCATTTTTCTTTCAAGTATTCTCTCCAGAATGATGATATTCACGCCTGTTATGCGTTATCGTTTATTTGTCCGTAAGTTAGGGCAGAAGGCAGGCGTTTCAACTGTCCCACTGTCTGTCACCTTCCTTTAAATGAAAGCTCGAGAAAGCCTCACCCACTGGACCACCAATAAAGTCACCCAATGTTGATTGCTTTCTTATTTCAGTGCACATTTTCCTCCCCTTTAAATTTTTTACCAAGAAGTCTACTAATTTCGACCAGCCAAATATTTGTTTCATTGTTGGCTCACTACTCTATTGGTCGATTCAGGGGTGGGTGGATCAATAGATTAGCAGTCATTGCATTGATTATTGGTTATATCTAAGTTGATAAGCTGTCCTTTTTAGGCACCTTGGTGCGAGATCCCTTTGAAACGCCTTTGGTAAAGCAATTTTGACAAAAAAGTGCTGCGAAACCACTTTCTTTCTACTTTGCTTGTCTAGCTTCTTTTGTTTTCCCAAGGAGGTATTGTACTAGCCAGAAGGCACTTAAAGTCTTCGTTTTGGGATACTGTACAATTATTTGACAACCTTTCTGCCTCCTTCTAGTTAACTTTTCGATATTTCTGAACTCCATGTTTTTTGATCGATTGAGCCAACGGTCAAATATGTTGTTTGGACCAGTTTTGTCATCCCTGCCCAATATGATCAGTCTCAAAAGCAGAGTTTTTGAGTAAAATCACTTGCCTGTATAAATGCTCGTTTTTTTCAGTTCTAACCTTTACCAATAGCCATTAAAATTACCTGGTATTTCTATTGGCCTCTTTCCGACCAACTCTTCCAAACACAACTTGACATTGATTCAAAACTGTCACTAGTTATGATCAGTTCCTCCGGGATTTCAAGCTCTTCCTTCGGAACCACGATTTATTGTTCCATGTTTCAAAGCATGGAATGTGGGCTTAATACCTTTGGTCTCATGCTCACCACGGCTGCGTGCTTGGTAGAAAGAACACATGTGGAATAGCGATATAATTTAGTTGTGATGTGAAATTCGGGGCGTCGCGAGTGTGTGGCACACGTTCTAATGTTTTGCCACCTCGAATCAACTGTCTAATCAAATGTGTGGCACAACTTACGCTTCTTTAATTGGAGCTCCTTTTGTAGCAGCTACCTTTATTTTCTTCATTTCAGCTCACCCAAAATCCCCAAGTGACGTCCAGTCGACACTGGAAGTACTACGTCGAGACGAATGAGTGGACTCGAGCCACATGCGCCCTAATGGCTTGCCTTTTTTCCCGTGATCAGATGGCCAATTCCACCGTCTTGGGCCGCGGTGGCTCCCAACGCGAACGTTTGCCCACAAACCTTGTCGCCTACGTTGTCAGTAAGTCAACGAACCTAGGCTTATTTAAACCACCACCACCACCACCACCACCACCACCACCACCACCACCACCACCACCACCACCAC